AAAAAAAATCTAAAAAATCTAGCCATTTATTAAAAACTTATCTTTAAAAAGAATGTTCAAATTAGGACTTTTAAAGTATTAAATATATTTAACAATAATATAATTAAGAGTAGTTGAAATTAGAAAAACCTATATACAAACCAAACAAAAATATAAAAAATATTTAAAAATAAAATCTAAAACACGATGTTTGTATCGTGGTATAAATCGATTTTGGTCTAAAATTCATCTGGTCTAAAGATAAATTTACTTGTAATTCAATTCGACTCTATATCATTGATCAAAAACAATCTAATATACATATAATAAAAAGATGGTAAAAAATAAGTTTTGATGGTTTTGACATGTAAAGAGAAAGTTTGTTGATTATGTGGTAAGAATAGTAAATTAGATTGAGAGAAGTCAAATAATTTAGATGTAAAGGAAGACCTATGAAAATTATAAGAGAAGTTATTAAGAAAATTCTTCATGTTAACGGTTTGATTAAAAGCACGCTATTTGATAGTAGAAGATTATCACGGATGTTGATTCTTGTAGCAAATTTCAAATAATGGAATAAGACTTAGTTGTTATTATTGGAAAAAAAATATGATGTCACAGTTGTTTAATTTGATGGATTTTTGAATATCTAAATTATAAAAAAATATATTAAAATTATAAAATAAAAAATATTAATAAATATATATTTTATAAAATATATAACATATAACATATTAAAATAAGAATGGTCACTTATGGTTTAAATAAATAATATATTAAAAATAAATAAATTAAATTAAACTAATAAATAATATTAAAAAATAAATATCATCAAATAATAAATTAATATAAATCATACGAATAAAAAATAAATAAGTATTAAAATATATGCGTTTGACTTGGTTTGATTTAGATGGATTTTAAAAAATAAATTCAAAATTTGATTTAAATTGAACAATTTTTACAAAATGACATAAAGACGCATTCAATAAGATTTTATTTTTTAGGATCGGTTTGTGGTATTTATTCGAATTAGTTTAGATTTGAACACCCCTACTTTATGAGAATTTTACATGTCACCTCCTAAATTTTATCCCCTCTCCCCCCTAATTTTTCATAATACCCATATTATCCTTGCTAAAATTTAACCAAAGACAAGTGCACGAAAAATTTAATTGTGCAATTGAAAAAATCGATATAAATTGAAAAATCTGATAGTGTATTTTAAAAATTCGATATGCATTTTTATGGGTTTTTTAATAAAAAAACGTTTGGTGGAAAATTTATCGGGTTTTTTAAGAGTTCAGAAAAAAAAATCAGATTTCTCAAATAATTTGATAGTGTATTTGAAAAATCTAATAAAAATTCATAGATTTTTTGAAATATCTGATAGTGTATTTGAAAATTCTTATAAAAACTCATAATTTTTTTGAAAAGTATGGTAGTATATTTGAGAAATTCCTATAAAAGTCCGGTAAAATTTCGTAGATTTTTTGAAACATTCGTAGATTTAAAAAAAAGGATAAAAAATTCATAGATTTTTGAAAATTTTGGTAGTATATTTAAAAAATCCGATAAAAACTCAAATTTTTGAAAAATCTAATAGTATATTTGAAAATTTTGATAGTTCAAATTTTGTAAAAAAATATAATTTTACACTGATTTTTTAAAACATCCGGTCATAGATTGTTTGAAAAATTCGATAAAAAGCTATAGCTTCCTCAAAAATTCTATAAAAACTCATAAAATCTCAAAAAAAAAACCGGTAAAAACTCAAAATTTCTAAAAATTATGAAAAACACTTTTTTTAAGTGTAAAAAATCACAAAGGATATTATGGTAAAAACATACCATTTGGGGGTGTCAGGTAAAATTCTCCTATTTTAGATCATCTCCATACATCTCATCTTGGCCCTTGGTGTTCAATTCAAGACTTTAATGTGATTATTGGCGCTCATGAACACAAAGGTATGAATGCTCCTTCAAGTACCCCTATGGAATACTTTAGACTTTGGAGTGATGCCAACCCTTTAAATCCACCTTCCAATCAAAGGCATAGATTTCATCTGGTCTAATGGTCGCAAGGGTATTAATAACACTCAAAAGAGATTTGATAGAAGCATTTGAAATTTGGATCTCACTGAGGCTTGATCCTCTATTTATTATTCTACTTTAACCAAAGCTAGATCATGCAACTTTCCTTTTTTTCTGCAAATTAAAGTTAAAGGTACTAAGCATCCTCTTATTTATGGTTTCTAAATGTGTGGTCATTACATAGTATGCTTCTACATAGCATACTCCTATACTCCTGGCCTAGCAATCTTATCAAACAAATGGAGATGTGGACGAGGAACTTTATATAGAATGGAGACATCACTAAGAGAAAATTGGTTACAGTTTCTTGGGCTAAGGTTTGTACACCTACTTTTAAGGGTGGCCTTGGCATTAGACGTCTTTTTAAGCTTAATGAAACATCTAAAATGAAACTTTTCTGGGAGTTATTCTACTCTCAAGAATAACAGGCAAAACTTCTAAGGCATAGAGAGCTAAGGAAGAACGGTTATCCATCATATTTACTCTTCCATTGGGAGTAACATCAAGCACAAATTCCAGATGATTATGGACAACTCTTCATGGATCCTTGGTGATGGAGCTAAAATTTATTTTTGGTTAGATCCTTGGTGTGACCCAGCTATCTTCCTCAAATCCCTCAAAATTTTAATCATGGCCTTTCAGAAAAAGTGAAACAATTTATATCTAATGATGATTGGATTTTCCCTTCAGCTTTGCATGTTGCCTACCCTTCCATTATTGTGGATCATATAAGTGGATGGACACACACTATGAATTGAGGGAGATTATTGTGATACATGTGTGAATTATAAGTCTCACATTATTTGGAAAAGTGAATGTTGAGTACTTTATATGTAAGATTTGTAACACCCTAAACTCCGAAACTTATATAAAAAGATTTAATCGATAATTTAAGATGTCACTACGACAACCATCCAAAATTCATCAACACATTTGACGACAAGCAACGGAAAATCATGTCACAACAACTTCAAATTTAACATCTAAAGTATTAAACTTTAACATCACAATTCAACATCAACTTAAAACATAACAAAATGTCTCGTTCCCAATGTTACAAGATCAGAGCACTAGAACCACTAAATTGCAATAAACAATAAATAAATTAAGGTAATATCCAAGAATATATATATATATATATATATATATATATATATATATATATATATATATATATATATATATATATATATATATATATATATATATATATATATATATATATATATATATATGAATGCAATGTGACTCACGACATCGACATTACCCATATGGTACCAATCAACAATGGTTCTTCATACGATTTGGGTCCCAACATCTGAACCTTGAGCCCCCTCATTTAAGCTCTGGACATGTCACTAGTCCCAACATCTCAACTTTTGACTCGCCTCTTTCACAACAACGACAATATATAATGTATGACATATCTCTGGGCGAGCATCACAGAATCCAGAACCTCTCACTCTGCACTTCTCGCTGGGTGAGACATGGCTCATCGGGCGAGCTCTCGCTAGACAAGCTCTTCTTTGCTGGGCGAGATCGCTCAGACCAGAAACATCAAAACAACGGTTTTCCACCATGAGAGCCCTATTAAAGCTCCGATTTCACACCACATAACACTCAAATTGACCATAAATGAACCATACACCAATTATAAGACATAGACATGTTAATTTCACATTGGTCCACAATTAATTTCACCAATTTATTACGAATTAAGGTCATACTCTTGAAACTCAAACACATCAATTAACAACAACAATTTGCAGGTTTTACATGCTTTCATCATGCATCAATTTGACACAATACAGTACACAAATTTCACAAAACAACATCAATCAAAACAGAATATACATGTATTCATAATCAATAATTCACACAAAATCAACACTGACTAAATAAGAGGAAATCTAGAAGAGGATGAGGATCTCTCTCTATCCTTCATCAATTACACCAATATAGAAAGTAGTCACTTTCGATGTACTAAATACGTGCAACACACGCACGCGCGCACGCACAAGCACACGCGCGCATACATACACACAATTCTTCTTTAAATAAACACAGTTCTTTTTCATATTCTTCTTTATATAAAAAAATTTGTATTTTAGTATATAAAGAAGAATTGTGTTCATTTAAATTTATAAAACTCAGAATATCATAAAGGGGCAGTGGTGTAGTTGGCAAATCTATTGAGATTAAAAATACACTTAATTATAAAACAAAACATAAGAATTAATAAAGACAAAATATGAACTTTCTTTCTAACTCTATCATTAGTGACTAGAGAATTGCGGAGAATTTAGTGACAAAAGAAAATAGAGAGAAATTTCATTTTTGCATCACTAATTTTATTTTTCTAATAACACAATATTGTAAAGAAACTCCACATGTATAATTTCAATAACTTTCTGGTCTCAATTACTTCTTTCTTTTTATAATTTTTTTTTCGACAGTGATTATGTAATAAATTTGATTATGGCATAAACCAAATATGAAAGGCTATTCTACTCCATCCATATATAAGCATGAAATAGTCAAAGTCATGCCCACTCTAGTAGACTTTGTTTTGGTGTTTCTATAGAAACCTAACACTCATTCAAAATTATTGTCATTGTTATTTCACCTTCCATCATTAATATTCAACGTTTGTCTTTTGGTGCCCTCATAAGGTAGGGACCCCAACAAAAAGTCTATATTTATTTCATTCATTAGGTCATAAACTTGAAACCTTTTGAACTATTTTTCTAACATACATACATCCATAATGGAAATATTTGACTTATTTTCCACCTTAATTAATTCATCACAAAAACTCACATTCTTTCTTTTCATATAAATAAATGCTTATCTATTGGAAACAAGGAAAGTTACTTTCATGTCATAACAAGTTTCAAAAGTTTGTGGTGCTACTCAACATTCACAAAAATGGATGTTGCTAAATTAGATAACTTAGAGAACAAGAAAGAAGATGAAGTTGTTCTTCCCGGGTTTAGATTTCATCCAACCGACGAAGAGCTTGTCGGATTTTATCTTCGACGAAAAGTCGAGAAGAAGCCTCTTCGGATAGAACTCATCAAAGAAATCGACATCTACAAATATGATCCATGGGATCTACCAAGTAAGATTTCATTTCCTCTATATTTATGTTACTAAAACTGACTTGTAAGCTGAGGATTACCGTCAGTTATACACGATCAGATCATATACTGATGTGGGACTATTTAACAGGAACTATTAGCATTATTTTGATTTTACTATATGGTTTTGATTTTAATTTATGGACATGATTGTGATGAAACATGAAGAACCTAGCACTATGGGGGAGAAAGAATGTTATTTTTTCTGTCAACGAGGAAGAAAATACAGGAACAGTATAAGGCCAAATAGAGTAACAGGATCTGGATTTTGGAAAGCTACAGGGATTGATAAATCTGTGTATTGTGTAAAAGAATCCCATGAATGCATTGGATTGAAGAAATCATTGGTTTATTATCGTGGAAGTGCTGGAAAAGGTACCAAAACTGATTGGATGATGCATGAGTTTCGTCTTCCACCAGCTAAAGGAAAATCTGTTAATCATGGCAATGATGTTCTTGAAGCTGTAAGTCATCGACTAATTTGCTGCAATTTCTTTCTATAACTGAAAATGTGAAAGCAAAACTATATATTTTTTTTGTGAATAAAAAAGCAAACCCTTCTAGAGAGAGTATATTCAAAATAATGACAGCAGCATATTGATGAAATTTTGAATAAAAAAATAATGAATTATAAAAGCATGAGATTTGGGGTTAGAAAATTATTCATGTACGTAATAAAAAAGAATGACTTTGGGTGTCTCAAAATCTTCTAGGATGCATCATACATGACATGTATGAAGACAAAATAAACAACATTGAAAATTTAGAATTAAGATTCTCTACTTTTGAATCAAGGTGATTTTAGTAATTTTTTTATATCTACTTGCACAAACTTTTAAAAAGTGTCTTTGTTTCTAACATGTTTCTATCTAAGTACTTTATGATGTTTGTTTGCATTGTAGGAAGTGTGGACACTATGCAGAATATTCAAACGAATCCCTTCATTCAAAAAATACACACCAAATTTGAAAAAAGACTCAGAAACAACACCGTCCTTCACTACCAACAACAACAACAACTCTTCATCTTCCAACACATGCAGCTTTGAATCCGACAACACCAAACAGTACTCGACTTTCACCGATTCACAGCCTCTTCAACAGAATCATGAAACAAAACCGTTCTTCAACGGACATGTCGACCAAAGGCTTAACCACTCGTTCCTAACTCAAGTTCCAACAACTTTGTCTCAATCAAGTTTTTGGAACGAACATCCAAATGTGGTTGACGATGAAGCATTTGCAAATGAGAATTGGGATGATCTTAGATCTATGGTTCAGTTTACCTTTGATCCTTCAAAGGTTTATGATTGTAAAGACTTTAATTAGAGTTAATTCAATAGAATCATAAACTACATACTTTAAACTAATACTACATCGGTACTACCACTTTATAGAACTGCAAAGTTTGATCGCGTTTAATTGATATGCAATGTCAGAGTAAAGAAAACATTTTTGTTGTATAACATTTTTGTCAGAACATAACACAGCTTAATTAAGTAACTGATGAAATGAAAATCAATTAAGTTTACACGCTTAATCAACAAAATGGTATATAATTAATTACACTCTATAATGATGAAAAAATTCTCTATCTTGTACATGTTTTTGGTTTATGATCAAGGCTGATGGAAAGAGTTTGATCCTTGTTCATGGTGATGATTGATGCCTGGTTGGCTAACCACCGGAATATCCAAGCTGCTTCCGTCAGTTTCTGGCGCTGCTACTTCCCTTACATCGGCTATTCTTGCCTCTGTCGCTTGAATATCGCTCCATTCATTGTCACCAACTGGCTGAATGCTGTTTACCTGATCTGTTGCCATGTGAACTACGTTCTCGGCAGGGATAGGGTTTGCTCGAGAAACACTAAGGCATGCTTTATCGACATTTTCTTCTGTAGGGTCCACGTGCTTTGTATCCGAGCACGACTCTGTCTTCTCCACAACTTGAGTTGCATCGATGTGTTGCCTGTTAACAAACGAAAAAAATTATCTGATCCGTCAAATTTGTTTTTCGGATACTACACATAGGCGTGTTCGCGAGTACAGGTCAACCCGGTAAAGAAAACTGGTTGACAAATATAATTATCAAAGCTGCGTGCAAGACGTAAAGAAAACAAGATGCTGACCGACCTTTGAAGTTGTGCTTTTAGCATGTTAACATATGCGAGAAGCTCCTGCTTCTCTTTTGTTGCCGCCGATTCTCTCTGTACAGCATCCTTTATCCTAGCTTCAGCGTTTGCCTCTGCAACCCTAACCTTCTCTTCCGCCCTTACTACAGTTGCTTCTAAGATCACACCATGCTCTCGAGCTTTCCCGAGTTCAGTACGCCACATATGTGCCTCCTGGATCGCAGCTTCTCTCTGGCTGATTAATTGCTCTCTTTCTTTGCTTAAGCCCGAAATTTTTTCTTCATACTCCTTTACCTACAAATAGAACGTTCGAGAAATTTTCATTGAAAATAATAAACATAGTAAAAGCTAAGGGCGAATCATTCGAAACTGTTGATAGAGAATTGGTTAAATTTCCATCAGCCAAAAATTAAAACATACCTTTTGTGCATACGCCTCCTGCTGCTTCTCGGATTCTTTTCTCAAACGATCAATTTCTGCGCAGGCGATTCTCCGGTGGTCATCCATAGTATAAGCAGCAGATGCTGCAGCTTCAGCAGCTTCGGCAGTCTCGGATAACTTATCTGCTATTTCTTTTATAGTTGAATCGCGTGCCCGAAGGTCTCGAGCCAAATTCTGTAGCTCCTCGTCCTTAACTCGTAGTGTTTCCTATAGAATAAAACAGGGTTGTGACAACCGAACGCAAAGCAATAAAGAACCCTAAAAGTCCAAGAAGACAATCTATATTGATAGGGCGTACCTTCATGATTGCTAAATCATCCATAGGACCATCAGTGGTCCTATTTGGCATCATTCCAAGTGCGGTTCGCAAAGAAATCTGCATAGCTGCTTCGATTTCTTTAGAACATTCCGAGGCTGTTGAGTTGGCGGCAGCAACAACGGTTGCAACAGTTCCTAATTTCGTAGAACCATTCCCGCTTAAGGAATTCACAGCTTCTTTATGAGCTTTCAGAACCAACTGAGTCGCACTGGTGTGCGAGGTAAAATAAATCAGACAAGGAAATAATTACAAACTATTAGACAAGAAAAATTGCAATACAAATCAATTCGTTTTAGCGGTAGCTAGAAGAACACAAGATAATAGAATAAATAACAATAAGATGAACAAAGAAGACTTACAAAATAAGATGAACAATAAGATGTTCTGTGAGTACAAAGAACATAGTTGAGAACACTTAAAATTATCGACGGGAGATACTACAATAATGAATCTCCCATAATTTTGATCGGGGCAAGGATGCGTAACTTTCAAAAATGATTTTAGCAAGAAATTGGAGAATTAAAGAAAACGCTATATACATAAGTAACAGTAGTTTTAAGTTTGGAACGAAAACGCACTTGACTCGAAAACTCTTCTGTAATTTGGAATCCCGTAAACGTGAGAAAATATGGGAAAATGTTTGGTGGCCCCAACAAAAATACTCTATTCCATTATTCGAACTATCTTTTTGTTACAGTGTTGTCAATGGCAGATAGCGGCGGAGAGCTAAAATCCCGCCATACCGGACGCTCTGTGGCGCTGTCATAGCAGATTATAACAGAAACTCCAGCAATATCGGCTGGTATTTACCATTGCGGCGAGCCCGAAAACTGCCACTAATATCTGTCAAGGCCGATATTCGATAACACTGTTTTTTAATATTTCTCTTTTGAGGAGGTAATTTTGTAATTTAATATACATGATTCTTTCTTTTCTCTTACCTTTTACACAATCAATCAAGCAAGAGAAGTTATAACTTTCTTTCCTTTTGTTTTCTCTCCTACCAAACAATAAAGTGCAATCGTCTTATTTTATACTCGTTTTCTTATAGAAACAACGGAGCCTTAAGTGTTGTCGATGGCGGTCCATGGCAGAGAGCCAAAATCCCGCCATACAGGCCGTAACCGTTATAGCGGATTATGGCAGAAAAACCTGCAATATCGGCCGATATTTACCATTGCAGCAAGCTCAAAAACCGCCATGTATATCCGCCGTAGCGGCCATGGCGCCGCTATTTGATAACACTAGATCATGCACCTCTATAAATATCTAACTAATTGTTGCTTTGCACATAACAATGTTAATACCATTTAATTTCTCAACATACTGCACGACGATATGGAATTCATAAAAGGGAGAGAAAAATCAGGGAGTATAAAAAACATACTGCAAAGTTGACACCCATGCTCTAGCTGCGCCAGGAGTCTCCGCGCAAAGAAAATAATCCTTTTTCTGTGGCGTCCCGATATCTAAACGAGGAAGTTAAGAAGCGACAAAAAAAACAATTTCCATGCATACGTTACCAATTCATAATTTGTAAGTGTTAAAAACATTAAAGTTACACAAAAGGATACAAATGCAGCACCCGTCATACTTCGGTTGCCCGCTGCAACACACCAAAATAATTGAATAAATACATTCTCAATTTAATATAAAAATAAAACAAAATTATAAAGTAGACACTCATTAATAATACTAAAAACCATGTAGCACCAACACCTTTGAAGAAAGGTGTGTCCCTGCTAGACACCAACACTTACGATTACATTTAGTTTATTCGTTTTCTTACACTATTACCGGTATTGACGTGTGTCAGTGTAGTGTCTGATATATGTGCTTCATGGATTAGAAACCAAGCAAAATAGGGTTATGTTAAAAAAAACACCATCCTTACTTGAAATTCACAGGAGACACAGTAATGGTGCTATTCGCGTCAAACACAATTGTTCCCTTAACAGTCGGCTCATTTCTTCTCAACCTAAAAATCAAAGAAAAACAACAACAAAGAGGATCAACAACCAAAATGTTACAACTTTTCCCTTCTCAAAGGGAAACAATATATGCAAACACATACTTGTATTCCATTCTTCCGGTCGTAGGGTCCAAGATCACCCAACGTTCATTCCATTTCCTCAGCTATCAAAAAAAAAAAAAAAACAGTTTTTTCACATGAACTACCCAACATTCAAACCAAGATTGAATATTCAAAGGATCAAAAACCCACCATACATTTGAATAATGAGATAACTATAATTCAATTTACACAATAAAAATAAAAATTTGTAGGTTAATAATCTTAGCAACGAAACAAAACAACGCAGTATTGAAAATTGATCATCAATGGAGGATAAGTTGATTACAGTTTCGGATCTCTTAAGAAGTGGTCCCTGCAACAAGTTTCTACCAGAAGCGGAAGCTAGTTGGCGCTTGATCTTGTCCAAACTGTTCTCGGTGTTTTCCATAGCTCGCTGCATCATTGTGATTCAGCTCAGTGTTAACAACACCGTTTGAAGTTTCAATTCAATAACATAGACACAGAGAAAAAGAGATAGAGAGAGAGAGAGATTGGTTACCGGAGAAGCCATAGACGTAGATCAACTCTTGTCGGAAGATTCTTGAAACCCAACAAAGGGTTTTTGTTTTTGTTTTCGTTTTTGTTTTTTGATGATATGTAGTTTTTCAGATTTGGTTGTTGTTCTGTTTTTTATTTTTAATCTGCTTGAATATATAAATATTTGAGAGAAAAATTTATTTTAAAATTTTTAATTTATTTTATTTGATTGGAAAAGGGAAGACTGGTTGGTAATTTGGGAATGCTGACTAGAAGGTGCACTTTACTTGATTATGTGTGATTGTTTTGATTGCTTTTTTTTCTTTTATGGGAACAAATTATATATATTACATCATGAATCATGATACATGATACATGAGATAATGTAAATAGTTTATTGAATGTTAATTGAGAAATTTAAGAGAATGGTCATTATTACTTTCATGACAAGGTGTTTGGAAACATATCATGTCCATTAATAGGGAGAACACAAGTTTCAATGTAAAAAGGTTTGTGGGGTAAATTTTGTTTTGAAGGATTAGATGATAGTCTTTTAGGGTTTATGTATTATTTGAAATGTGTTATTATTATGAAACTCTAAAAATAATATTTTTTTGGTAATAAGGTTGTGACTGAATAAAATGTTAAATATATAAATGATATTATTCATATATTCAATGTTATAAAAATTTTAGTGAATATGTAATATATCTTTCTCTTATTTTGGTTAGGGGTGTTATCAAAAGCATTTGTATGTGAGAATATAATGAATAAATAGTAGTCATAAAATTAAATTAAATGTTAAAGATTTTTTGTATAGATAAAAAGGTACAAGATCGCGAGACTACTTAAAAAAATGTGAATGACTTTCTCTTAAAGTAACAGTGACTAGAGCAACAATTCTCTTTCATTAGTGGATATGATGTATTTAAAATACATTTTTAAATAATAAAGTATTAAAAATAAGATGTGTATATTATAACATTTGAAGCATCTAAGGAGCTTTTGTAGATGCATAAATTTTTATAAGAGTTAGGTGTTGAGCAAGGAAAATTTGTCTTATTTTGTTAGAGTCGGAGTACAATTCATATTGGTAAAGACGTTTCATTTTAGGTCAAAGCACATTGTGGTGTAGTATCGTTACATATGATGTGTTGGAGAATAGTTTATTTTCACTTGAGAAAATCCATATTGACGAGAATGGTTCAAATGCGACGATAAAGACTTTGTATGTGATAAAGATGATTGATTACCTGCATAAAGAAGGTGAGCATGGTGAAACATCTCATTTCCACTTGAGTCATGCGATGGAAATTGGTAGGGTAGACTTACTCTTAAACTGAAACAGACCATTTATTTAAAGTAAAAAAAATGAAAGAAAAAAAGAAGAAAAAAAATATTTTTTGTTTTTTTATGAGACAAGCCACATGTTGCTACCAATAGGGTTTAAGTCGTTTACTATATAAACAACACAATATAAAAAAGAGAAAGGCAACAAAAATAATATCAGAAAAGAAAGAAAAAAATGTTACATCTGAGAGAGGAAAAAAAAGGAAAATTTCTTCAAGTGATAGACGAGTGTTACAAATTTTCTCAGTTTTCGCTATAATGGTTTATTTTCATATCACTTAGAAAGGCGGTTTATTTTCATATCACTTAGAAAGACAATACGGGCTCAGCACATCGGGCATGTCTGTTTTGCCTGCACTTTTTCGCGAAGTGTGCCGAGGTTTTTGGCTTGTGCCTTCTAATATTTACATCCCGTTTTTTTTAGACGCCGACATTAACATAAAATTTTATAGTTTTTAAGCTAAATGGTTCAATCATCGTGGCCCCCATCCACCCCAACCTCATTTTTTTCGGGGCGGAGCAGGTTTTAGACTCGCATCATCGACTATATGTGCTCCGTCCTACTCCATTTTTTGCGGGTTTTTGCGAAGCGGATATAAATGGAGAGGACATGCTTGTTTGCCATCCCTAATTTTAGAAGACTAAATCTTATTATTTTATTCTCTCACTTTGAAAAGAATTTTCCACATTAAAAATTTGGTGTTTCTACTATTTAATTTTTCTATTATTATTATTATTATTATTATTATTATTATTATTATTATTATTATTATTATTATTATTATTATTATTATTATTATTATTATTATCCTATGTAATGTAATTGGCTTTCCTGGATACCTATTTAAATTACACAAGTTTGGAAAATAATAATTCGTTTTAAAGAGATCGATTTATTTGGTTATTTTTCAACCATTATTAACTATAAATTTCCTTTGTATTTTGAATTCAATTTGTCATTTGAAATATTGTTATCAATGTATGATTTGTTTTCATATATACTTAATGCTTTTCATGATTGATTATTGGTAAACGGTTGTATAGTTTTTCGTTAGAATGAATGCTCAATGGTAAATGTTTTTATAAAAATATTCTCGTTTTTTATTTCCAATGACTATTGAGATGAAACCTAATTTTTTATTCTTTTTTGGATTGGTTGCATTGTGCAAAACAACATGGAGTATGTTCAAGTTGTTCTCGTGTTGAAATGACACATGTAGAACATGATGTTCCACCATGTGTGTAGTGCAACATCTGGCCTTGTCAGCATGTCGTGATGGATATTATTAAGTATGAAATTTCTGATTAAGATTTAATCAGATTTGTTACACATTATTTAGCAATATTTATGTGATTTGTTTGATAGTTGTTGAATATCGAATCAGATTAAAAAGAAGATTTAAATTTGAATTTGAAATAGAACAAATCATATCTTTTGTTGGAGAATTTTATGGAGCAAATAAAATCTAATAGAGTCAGTTATCATTTTGGACGAAATTATATCAAAAATCCAAAGGAGAAAAATCCGAAATGCATTGCTATTTAAGGAGACTCAAATCTCTTGTTTGAGAACAAGTTTTGTGTGCTAAGATTAAAGTATTTGTGCCAAGGTGTTTGATTCTTTTGTTACTTGTATTTCACGCTGATGTTATCACTCATATCATAAGGATTAATGTTGGATCATATTTGTGTATGCAACATTATTGCTTTAGTAACTTGGCATAGTTGTTGGTTTGTCTTTATTGAATTGTAAATTCAACATTCAATATAGTTGTTATTGAAGTTGATCACTTGAGATTAGTGATTAAGAGAAACTGAAATGGTGTTGGTAGGGAATTTCGACGCCATGTTCTCATTTGAGAAACTAAGTGAAAATTAAAAGTTTGTTAAATATGGTTAACTTTGACAAAAGTTAATGTGAAGTTTTGTCAAAGTGGTTCTCATAAGGAGACGTGTTTGGACAAAAACTTATAAATATTTTCTAAGTGTAGAAGTTCACTTCGATGAAGGGATATTTTGAAGCCTTCCTTCGATAGAAATTTAAATTTCAAAATACGGATAGATAACTCTCTTGTGTCTTTATCTGTTTCTCAGGAGAGACGCGTGGATGACTATGGCGAAACGAAGGCATGCAGGGCGAAACGTGTCAACTTTTGGAGAAATGCTCGTTGGAGAAGTTATTTGGATGTATTACAAATAAGGGTCTTAGTATTAGGATTTCGATGTGTTCAATTGTTGTACTATACTCAAAATGTACTCAAAGTAAACAAGTTAAAAGCGAGAAAAGAGTTATTATTGAGATATGTACGTTGAAACACCATATTTTATTCAATAAAAGTTTATTTTCATTTTAACAATCGTTATTTACTGCATTTTTTTTACTTTGAAGTTCTTTTTTTCATTGCATTTCCTTTATCAACTTTTACAAAGTTTAATATTTTCAACAAACAATCAAAACAATCTTTTTACACTAATGAATGTTGTCGAAGTGTTCATCAATTTTTCAGAATACATTAATACAATAGATATGTCCTCAGGATTTACTAGTTGATTCTGCAAGTAAACCAAATTTTTAGAAGATCAACGGTTGTTTACCGATTTTCACAGTAAACAAATTGGCAAGCCTAGTGGAACAGTGTTATTGTGTTTGAAAATATTATTTTTACTTTTTCTGGAAAAGTTTTACTTTTAAGTTCTTCATTTTTATCTCTCCATACTTCGTTGCATGAGACTTAGGAGTGGTAGAATAGCCACAAATAACGAAGAGAGAGACCAAGAAGAAGATACGCAAGGATAATGGTGAATCCAAATCCACCAAATAACCAAAATAATGAAGAATCACCCCCTTCTTCTTCGACAGAGGGCCATATGGTTCCAGAGTTAGTGTTTGAAGTCGTACCTTCTACGAAAAATTCGACGCATGTGCAGTCTATTGCCCAGAGTGGTCTCATTCTATCTTATGTAGGAACACAGGATCCACCAGTGACCCCCCCCCTCCAGTGGGAAATAATTCATTTAGGCCTTATGTGTATGGATTCTCAATGCCTCCAATAGGACACGAAAAGCTTTATGGCATGCCAACATCAGTGATGACAAGTTTACATAATGCATCATCAATGTTCTCAGAACCAATGGTGAATATAACTTCGCCATTACAAAGATCTGGTTTAGACATTAATAATATGGGTCGAATTAGCCAGCCCTTAGAGACATAATTTCCTATCCAGATGCTCAATATCACTAACAAGCAGTGATAAGGCAACAGATGGACGAAAGTAATTATGAGATAGTCCAGATGCTTGCTCAACAAATGGGAGTTATATTCAACCCCTTAATCCAGAATACTATCCAAACTAACCAATAATTGGCAGCACAAATGGCGAGTATTGTTGACTTCTTTGGTGTTCCACAACCCTCTCAACAGCCTCAAAGGAAATGGATGGTGCAGAATATTGGGACAGTCTTAGAAGAAGACCCTACAATTAACCAAGTTCAACCAAATATACCCCAGGCGAACATTTTAAACCAGGGGGCAGTAGTCAAACAACCTAGGGTCGAACCTTCTAGAATTGAACAGTCAATCTAGAGGGAACCAAGGGTAGTAATGGTAAATAGGAACCAAAACTTTGATGAAGTAATCACTCAAGTTCGACGTGAAGATATAGCGGAGGACAATAACCTAAC